AGGGATGAGACCAGTGGAGTATCTTAGATGGCTGCTCACAGGCTTTTAAGACCCCAGACACTACTCACCAAGGTAGAATGTAGAGCATTGTCTTTATCAACTGTGTTATCTGGCTAAGGCTATTTTTAATAACAGTCTGATTTTTATCTGGCAGCAAACATTTTGTTCCACAGATCCCTGCTTGAGGAGGAGAGGCTCCTTATTGGTCCCTGTACAGAGCAGGCCCACCAGCACTCTATAGGTTTGAGATGATTACCCCCACAGCCAGGCTCTGCATGTTGGCCTCAGAAGGAAGGCTTCAGAGACCAGCTTCCCAATGACAGGAAGGAGCCTTTCCACTTCTTTCATGCTCAAATAGTGCCAACTGCTCCTCTTTCATCACAGATCCCTACACTGAGACCTTACATTGTAGTCCACTTTGCTGAGAGCTTTCAGAAACCTCATACGGTTACCCTACTCACAGAGAGGATTTGAAGCTGTTGCTGCACTACTACCTGGGAGAGTGAGAGACTAGAGCAATGGTCCACTGTTTGCTAGAACTAAATCTTTTCATCTGAGGTCAAACAATACTGCCCTGACACAGCAGGAGTTGGTGTTCCCCTTATGACCAGCAACTTACTCATCGGAAATACTTTCTTTCGGAAATACTTTCTTTCAACGACAAAATCAGTGACTACACATGTGGACTACACCAGATGGGTTACACAGGAATCAAATCTATTACATCTATGGAAAGAAGTGATGGAGAAGCTCAATAGCATCAGTCAAGAAAAAGCCAGGGGCCAACTGTGGAACAGACCATCATTTGCTCATGTGTAAGTTCAGAGTGAAGCTGAAGAAAATCAAAACTATAAGAGCCAAAGTGTGACCTTGAATACATCCCACCTGAATTTAAAGACTTGACACACTGAACACTGAAGACCAGAAGAGTTATGGGAAGACATCATACATGAAGAAATAAAAAATCATAAAGTCAGGAGAGAAGGAAAAGGCCAAATGGATATCAGAAGAGACTGAAATTTGCTCTTAAGCGCAGAGTAGCTAAAGCAAATGGAAGAAATGATGAAGTAAAAGAGCTGAACAGAAGATTTCAAAGGTCAGCTCGAGAAGACAAGGTAAAAGTATTATGATGAAATGTGCAAAAGACTTGGAGTTAGAAAACCAAAAGGGAAGAACACAATTGACATTTTTCAAGCTGAAAAAACTGAAAAGTCAAGCCTCAGGTTGCATTACTGAAGGATTCTATGGACAGAAGAATTGAATGATGCAGGATTTATCAAAAGGTGGAAGGAATACATGGTCACTATACCAAAAAGAATTGGTTGATATTCAACCATTTCAGGAGGTAGCATATAACTAAGAACCACTGCAAGAACTGAAGGAAGAGGTTCAAACTGCAGTGAAGGTATAGGCAAAAAACAAGGCTCCAGGAATTGACAGAATACCAATTTAGACGTTTCAACAAATGGACGCAATGCTGGAAGCACTTCACTTGTCTGTGCCAAGAAATTTGGAAGACAGCTACCTGGCCCATTCCAAAAGAAAGGCAATCAAACAGACTGCTGAAATTATTGAACAATATTAATATCGCATGCTAACAAAATTTTGCTGAAAATAATATAAAGATTACTGCAGCCGTACATCTACGGGGAACTTCTAGAAGTTCACACCGGATTGAGAAGAGGATGGGAAATGAGGGATATCATTGCTCATGTTAGATGGATCTGAGCTGAAAGCAAAGAATACCAGAAAAATGTTTACCTGTGTTTCACTGACTACGTGAAGACATTCAACTGTGTGGATAACAAAATATGGATAACCTTACAAAGAATGGGAACTTCAGAACACTTAAGTGTGCTCATACAGAACCAGTACATGGATCAAGAGGCAGTCATTCAAACAGAACAAGGGTTTCAAAATTGAAAAGGTACGTGATAGAGTTGTATTTTTTTTTACCTTATTCAATCTGTATGCTGAACAAATAATCTGTGAAGCTGGGCTATATGAAGAATGTGGCATCAGGATTGGAGGATGACTCATTTAATGACCTGAAATATGCAGTGACACAACCTTGCTTACCAAAAACAAAGACAGCTTGAAGCACTTACTGAAGAAAGTCAAAGATGACAGCCTTCAGTATGGATTATAACTGAACATGAACACAAAAATCCTCACAGCTGGACTAGAGAAAGAAATTGAAGTTGTCAACGACTTCATCCTATTTGGATCAACAGTCAGTGTCCATGGAAGCAGCAGTCATGAAATCAAATGACTTATTGCATGGACTAATCTGTGGCAAAAGATCTCTTCAAAGCTCTGAAAAGCAAAGATGTTACTTTAATGAGTAAGGTACACTTGACCCAAGCCATGGTCTTTTCAGTCGCCTCATATGCATGCAAAAGCTGGACAATGTAAGAGAAGAATTGACGCATTCAAATTGTGGTGTTAGTGAAAAATATTGAATATACCATGCACTGCCAGAAGAACAAACAAATGAATCTTAGAAGTAGTACAACAGAATGCTCCTTAGAGCCAGACTTTGTACTTTGGACACATCATCAGAAAGATCAATCACTAGAAAAAGGCATCATGTTTGGTAAAGTGGAGAGTCAGCAAAAACGAGGGAAACCCTCAATGAGATGGATTGACACAAGAGCCACAAGGATGGACTCAAACATACCAATGATCATGGAGATAGCCATGAGTCATCAGCAACTAACAGTACATACCTTCTATCCATCTTTAATTCAAGTGAGATCCCTAACAGCTTGCTTTAAAACACAGTGAATTGATCCTGTGTGACAGAACTTGTAGAGGAAGTTGTAAAATGAAGGTTGTCTTTATCCAAATAGATTTCTCTTTGACAATCAGCAGCAGCCTGAGGTTATGTCAGAGATGCAAGCACTGCTGAAGACCACGGGGGAAGGCTGTTACTGCCAAGGCTAACCCCTTGGTGGGTTTTTGAAAGGGCATTGTCTCCACAAGCCCGCTCTTCGTCAGTCAGAGGAGGCCGAGAGTCTATCTTCCCTTTTTCCCAGCCCTATGAATTGTTTTGGTGTGGTCTTCAGAGCTGTCATCCCTACTGCCAGATGGGCTGAGCATGAGGCTGGAAACGGGAACAGCTGGCACAGCAGAAGCTGGAGTAATATTCATTGCCACAGAGCTGGGCCTGCAGGATCAAATCACAGTTGGCCAGCTCAGGCTGGTCGATGCACTCCCTGCCAGGGTCCCTCGGCTGGGCAGCCGGTGCTGCAAAACAATAAGGGAGAGAGTAGTGAGGAAGCTCAGTGTATGTGGAAGCACAGGAGACTCCTCAGCTACCACTGCATTTCCTTAAAAGGAAAGCAGCATAACTGCTAGGTTCAAAAAGGTGCATTAATCTGTAACACCTGTCTATACAACTACCAGAGTCCTGGTGGTGCAGCAGTTAAGAGCTCAGGCTGCTAACCAAAAAGGTCAGCAGTTTAAATCCACCAGCTGCTCTTTGGAAACCCTATGGTGCAGTTCTGCGTTGTCCTGTAGGGTCAGTATGAGTCGGAATTGACTCAACAGCAATGGGTTTGGTTTTGGTTTATACAACTACCAGGGATTACAGTTTCTACCAGCTTGCTGGCCTCACTTTAACATGCAGTGCTCCCCTCCCCCATTATTTTTATTTGCAGCCTCATCCCAGTGCACAGCCTACAGCAGACCCCCCAAATGTATGTTAACTGGATGATTAGACATCTCTTGAAGTTAACTCCCTACCCTTACTATTGAGCCTGAAAAACTTAATAACAAGTGCCTTGGCCTCTGGATTAGGAGGAAGAGAGGGATAACACTACCAAGTAAAACTTGTGTTGGCAAAAGCTGGCCTGTGTTCTCCCTTTCACTGCTGGTTTCCTCCAACCCTACAGGCTTGGTGCCTTCAGTCCCTCCAGCTCACCTTAGTCACTTGGTTTCCCATTATTCTACTTCCCCCAGAGAAAGCAGTTAAGTATTCAGCAAGGTGTTAGGAAAACAGCCTCATTAACCACAGCCGTGATACTATACTGGGAACACTGCCCTTGAGCCTGCCCTCTGAATTCACCTGCCAGCTTCTAGGAGCTTCTGTATCTTCCAAATCCCTGTTAGAGCTTCTCTGCTGCTTCATCTTAGGACTGAAGCAGTCTTATCTATTCATTTCCTTTCTCATTCCGGAAGGGGCTCTTAAGGACTTGACTCAGCTTAGGCCACTGCACCTTCCCTGAAATCAGACTTTATGGGGTTAGGGAGGCCTTACCTTCATCCTCTCTCCCCTTGCTCCCTCCCACAACACAACTGAAAGACTATACCTAACCAATGAATGACCTTAGAAAGGCTTGGTTGATCAGTATAACAAGAGGACTAAGAGTAACATTTATGTATATTGTTTAAAAATGTCAAGTCAATAACTCTGTTATCAGCTGTCTCAGCTGTTGCAGGGCCTGGGCCCCTCTCATAGGGCCAGTTAGCAGGTGATCAGCATAGTGGTTAAACCACCAGCTCAAGAGCCAGACTGCCTGGGCCAGACCTGGCTCTGCCACTTACCAGCTGGGTGACTTTGAGCAAGTTACTTAAGCTCTCTGTGCTTCTGTTTCCTCATCTGTAAAATGGAGATAATAATAGCATCTACTTCATAGGGATGTTGCAAGAAGTAAATGAGTTAAGACCATGTCAAGCACTTAAAACAGCATTTGGGCCTGCAGCTAAAATTCGAGTGCTTAACAGGTACTTTTTTGCCCACATAGCATAGTTCCCTGCTATTTAAAAAATGGGACTGGGCCATAGTGGGTGACTTTCTGTGTTTTATTCCTATAATATTTTCTGTTCCTCACCCCAGTCTTTTAGGCAAGAAGATTGAAAAGTCTTCACAGTAGAACCATGTCCCTTACACCAGAGTGTGACTAGTCCAAGGCCCCCCCACCCTAATGCTAACACTGTAATTCCAGTATGCCACCAAACCATGAATAGGGCCAAGTGAGGCAGCTTCAAGTTGTGTGACCCTAAAAAAATACACAGTGGGTGAGAGCAGGTATCTGCAGCCTAACCAGAGAATGAATACAGTTGAGAGGAGAGGAGGGACAGCATGTAGCTCAGGAAAGGCGCCCCCCAAATATCTAAGCTTGGCAATACTCATCCAACAGAGGGCTGGAGAAGGGTGGCCTGACTGAGGACATGAGTGTCCTGTCCGTCAGACCATTGTAGCTTGGCACCCACACATCATGAGGAGCCCCAGTGGACTTCATCATCAAGCAAGTGTATAATTTGGTTTGTCATGTAGACATGTATATTGAAAAAAAAAAAAGAAAAAACCCCGTTGCCTTCTAGTCAGTTCTGACTCATGGTGACCCTATAGGACAGAGTAGAACTGCTGCATAGGGTTTCCAAGGCTGTAATCTTTACAGAAGCAGACTGCCACATCTTTCTCCCTTGAAGTAGCTGGTGAGTTTGAACGACCTTTTCGGTTAGCAGTAGAGCACTTAACCACTGCGCCAGGGCTCCTTAGACACATATATAGCTAATCGCAAACATGACTACTGCCTTAACAGCTCTCTCTCTCACAGTAAATCTCCATTCTGATTTGGTCTCGAGTCTTGTGAGTTTGGTTAATATGCAGACAAGATCAAATTTATGTACATGATAGAGGTGAAAAGTAGCCCCTGCAGTATGGTGCTGTCTCCAAAGTAATGCCATCATTCATTCCTTCATGCATGTACTCAGTTACCAAGAATATGAGCACCTGCTGGGTACCAAGCGCTGGGCTGGGCCCTGGGGACACCAGTCCCAGTCACTGCCCCAAGGAGCTCACAAACGAAGCTTAAGTGCCAGCCAGGTTCACTCAGCACTGTTTTAACCACAGACCTTCAACCTCTAGCACAGGCTCCCCACGCTCAGCCTGGAAGATACCACCTAGCCCAACACCTTGAGTATAGGAGTGCTCCTGGTGCTTCTCTGTGAGCCTGACAGCCATGAACATCCAGGCAGAGAAGCACCAGAAGGGCCCTGGCCCCCTCTCCTGCAAGGTCTGCGTCAGGCCCAGTGAGACCAGCTTCTCAGCCCAGGGCACCACCCTACTACTCAGTAACCAGGACTGCAGGTACATGGGAAAGCAGGCAGGGTGGGGCAACACCTGTCCCCCATCCCTCTGATTTATTTGAACATAGAACTATGGTGAGTTTGAACATGAATCACAGTCTATAGTTCATCAATTTTGAGATGTATTTGTTTTCATATTTCAACATCTATCAAGTTGGACTGTATCTTAATTGACAGTATCTTAGCATTGTGCCATTTAATTGACAGCATATTTTTCCTATTGGTACACAAATAATGCATTTTACAATATGGCATTTAGATTTGTTGAAATATGATATAGCAGTGACTCAGAGCAGGAGCTAGAGAATATAATACTAAAATCTCAAATTACTGAATAATGCAGGTAAAATTCCACTGAGTTATAGGTGCAATAGGTTAGTGAAAATATGGGAAGTCAAAAGACCCGGGTTCTAGTCTCAACTTGGCCACTGATTTGCTGTGTGACATCACTTAAGCTCTCTGCATAAGTGTTTCATTTATGAAATAGTGATGGTAATCTCTGCCCTTTCCCTGTCTGGGTTATATGGTCAGATGGCCATAAAGGCACTTTTCAAACACAGGACCACTTTTTACCACCCTAATTAGAAAGAAAGACCCTCAGTGAGATGGATTGACACAGTGATTGCAACAGTGGGCTCAAACATAGCAGCGAATTTGAAGATAGTGCAGGACCAGGCAGTGTTTCCTTGTTTTGTGCATGGGTCACTGTGAGTCCGAACCAACTTGACTACACCTAACAACAGCAATTAGAATGGATAGATTTGAATGCTTAAGTGTAACAATGAAATTCCAGTCAGTCATGTTTCTCAAAATAAAACTAGTCTAAACAATGATACTAAACATCTAGTAAGCACTTCCACCACCCATCAATTTGTTGTACTGTGGTGACCTACATGTTATGATGCTGAAAGCTATGCCAGCTGTATTTCAAATACTAGCAAGTTCACCCATGGTGACAGGTTTCAGGGGAGCTTCCAGACTAAGACCAGAAAGAAAGGCCTGGCGATCTCCTGCTGAAAATTAGCCAAGACCAGAAACAAAGGCCTGGCGATCTCCTGCTGAAAATTAGCCAAGACCAGAAACAAAGGCCTGGCGATCTCCTGCTGAAAATTAGCCAATGAAACCCCTATGGATCACAGCAGAATATTGTCTGATATAGTGCTGGAAGATGAGCCCCCCAGGTTGAAATGCACTACGCAATAGCTGAAAGAATGGGCACGAGCATGCCTACAGTCATGAAACCAGGCACTGGTTCATGCCAGGCACCGAACCAGCAACACTTCATTCTGTTACACGTAAGAGCACCATGCATCAGAACAGACTCAATGGCAACTAACAACAATTATTAAGCACTAGGTGCCCAGCATAAGGATTACTTCCTTTATCCTCACTACAGCCTATAAGGTGATAGAGTAGCCCCATTGTATAGATGAGGAAAGTGACTCAGGAAGGTTATGCCCCTTGAATCAGTAACTGGCATAGAGTGAGCCAGGATTTGAACTAGAATCCCTCAGACTGCAGAGCCTGCGCTCTTCCACAGCACAAATCCATCCAGCCCTTGAGAATAAGCAAGTGCCCTGGGAATATGCCCCTTCCACCCCCACAGTGGGCAGGTGCCTCTTACCTGGCGGGACCACCTTCACCTCAGTGCTGCGGCTGACTGCCTGGCTCCCACGGTAGGCGCTGCACGTATAGGAGCCCTCGTCCCTGGCCCTCGAGTTGTAGATCAGCAGCGTGCCGTCTGGGGACTGGTAAACACGGCCATCAGCCCGGACAGGCAGCCCGTTCCTGTGAGGAAAGGGACACTGGGTCTTCAGGGCTGGGAGATGGTGATCAAAGCCCATTCCAGAGCCAACTGGCTCCCCTCTCTTTGTGGGCAAACAACAGCTGACCCTCACCTCAAGAAAACAGATAAACAGGCTACCAAAAAGATACAAGAATGTTAACAAAGTAACACACAAGTGACTTAACTCACACCAACTAAGCATGCTGATCCAAGTTCGTACATTTGCTTCTTATACACAAAGGACTCCCCTTCTGACTTTTCATTAACAAAGATCTTTTAAGCTGGGTTGGGTACCAGGCCCTGTGCTGAACAAACAGAAGCACTCCCTGCCTTTGGGGCACTGGGGGTGGTGGGTGCAGGTGCTCAGGGGAGCCTTCTCTGAGGAGGACCTGAGAATGAGGAGGCAGCAGCCAACTAATGGAGAGAGAACCAGGGGACTCAGGAGCTTGAAGGCAGGCTGGGGCTGGAGCAAGGAGTGTGAGCACGGGAAGTGGACACAGTGAAGCTGGAGTGAAAGAGCCAGTCAGCAGGGTCTTAGACTGCCAGGAATTTGGACTGAATCCTGAGGGCCGTGGAGATTTTAGCCAAGTGGGAACTGACATGAGATTCGCACTTCGCCAAGCTCACTGACTGCAGTGTGAGCTGGGGGAGAAAAGCCTGAAGCAGAGAGACAGGTCAGAGGCTGCTGTGGTGGTACACGCAGGGCAGATGAGAGGCAGTAAAACAAAGGTCAGGTAGTGGGCAGAGGAAGAAATCAAGGACAGCAGGTTTCCAGCTTGGGTTACTGGGTAATGGTGGTGCCCCTCCACACAGGGAAATCCAGGGTATAGCTTGGGAAGGGTGAGGTTATCCACCATTTTGAATTTGGGGTGCCTATGAGATACCAGGAGGCACTGGATTTGAAGTCTAGAGCTCAAGAGAAGAGTCTGGACCCAGGTAGTGTTATCAGCCCTGCATGGTCCCAGAAACTGTCTACAGGGTTGCCCATGGGCAAGTTATAGGGCAAGACCACCAAGACCTCGGACAGAACCTTGAGGTGCACCAATATCTAAGGGATAGATAAGCTGAGCTGGCCAAGAAAACCAAGAAGCAGAAGCCAGAGGTGCAGGAGGAACACCAGAAGACGGTGTCTGGAGCCAAGTGAGGGAATGTTTCAAGAAGGAGCAAGTGGTCAGTGGAAGGGTGCTGAGACTCAAGTCATGTAAGGACTGGGGTGTGTCCAGTGGACTTAGGAATAGGCAGGTTGTTGGTTGCCCTGGCCAGCACAGTACCCCTGGAGTGCGAGGGTGGTCAGAGGCATAGGGGGTAAACAGGTGGAGACAATCAGTATAGACAGCTGTGCTGTGAAGGGCAGCGTCAGGTGGGAAACAGAGGGGAGTCTTGAGGCCGGGGAGTCCCTAGCACGCTTGTTGCTGAAAGATCCAGGAGAGGCAAAGTTGAAGGTAGGGGCCAGACAGTCAGAGCCTTATCACGAGAGGCTGGGCTCAGAGTACCAGCTGAAACCTCCAGAGACTCCCAGCTACCCTCAGCTAAAGCCTGTGCCTTCCTCCAGCATTAAGGCCACAAGAGGCAGCTGGACTCTGCAGCCCCGTGGCCTCGCCCCTCCAGCGTGCAGGCCCTTCCCACCTTGCTATATAACCTCTCAAATATCCACCTTGGTACTTGCTGCTCCTTCCACCAGGAATAGCCTTCAAGGTCCAGCCAGAATCACCTCCCTGGCCAGCCCTTCCTTGACTCCCCTAGACTGGTAGCAGCCTTACACTACTCTGTACAGATAGCACTTAGCACAGACCTTATCTGGAGCTCCTGGGACACTGCGCCATCTTCTGCCTGAGGGTGCCCTGGGGTTCAGAGTACCCCAGGATCCCCTGGGGGCACCCTGGGGCTCGGAGTACCCCAGGATCCTCTGGGAATGCCTTGGGGCTCAGATTCCCCCAGGATCCCCAGAGCCTAGCCTAGGCCTGACACATTGCAGGGAGGGAAAGATCAAAAAATGTTTCCTGAACAAATGAATGAACAAAAGCCCATTTGATCTGGAGTAAAAGATCACTGAAGTCCCCAAAACTGAGTGTAGCCCAGTGGTTCTCAACCCGGGGAGATAACCCGGGGAGATTTTGCCCCCTAGGGGACATACAGCTATGTCTAGAGACATTTTTTATTGTCACAACTTGTAGGGAGAGTGCTACTGCAATCTAGTGAGTAGAAGCCAGGGATGCTGCTAAACATCCAACAAAGCACAGGACAGCCTCCTCCCACAACCAAGAATTAGCAGGCCCAAAATGAGGAGGTTGAGAAACCCTGGTGCAGCCCAACCAATGGAAAAGAGAGCAGTCCTATGGGGCTTCATGTAGGCATGTGGGTGCTGCAGCCCCTCCCCTTGCACCAGACCTGGAGGCAGGAGTGGTAACAGCAACAGATAAGCCTTACCTGGACCATCTGATGTTCACGCTTTCTCCTGCCACCACAGAAAGGTAGCCCGCCCCTGCCTGGCTACACAGCCTCAGGTAGGAGGGTCCGAGGGCCAGCACTTGGCTGGAAGAGAGCCTTACCTTGACCATCTGATGTTCACGCTTTCTCCTGCCACCACACATAGCAGCCTGGCTGTGTCCCCCTCCGGCACTGTCACAGTAGGGGGCAGCCCTGTGATTGTCAGTTCCTCTGGGCACAAGGAGGGAACAATGTCAGCCTCTGCCAGCTGACCTCAAAGGCCACTGGCCCTACTTGCCCTCCTCTCCTCAGGACTGTCACCTTACCCAGAACTCTGAGCTGGACCCACCGCTGGTCTCGGTCCTGCCCATTGAAAGCAACACAGGCATAGAAGCCGCCATCTTCCATAGCCGCATGGCTGATGATCAGAGAGCCATCGGGCTGCAGCTGGTGCCTGGGGACAAGCACAGTCAGCTGGCTCCAGCCCAAGTGGGCAGGCATGGGGTGGGGGCAGAGTCAAGGGAAGGGCAGGGCAGATAGAGGGAGGGGCAGGTTCTTCCTTTCCCTGGAAAGGGGCTGAGCAGCCCCTCTTCAGTAGGGTTTCTTCAAAGGGTCCGTCTGCCTTAGGCCATTAGGTCCTCTTGATTTATGAAAATGCCTGGCTTTTAAGTATAGCAATAGACAAATCATTTCAAATGTTCTGATAAATAATTCTAGTTTAGGTTTCTAGTTTTTGCTATACTTATTTTATAGACGCAAATCCTGATTCTACCACTTACGAGCTGTGAGATGTTAAGCCTCCATTTTCTCATGTCAAATGGGGTTAAAATAGCACCTACCTCTGTATGGCTGTTTTGCAGGTTATATGATAGAGAACATGCCTCCCACTCAGTATGCACTCAATAAATGTTAGCTGTTATGCCCACAGTCAGAAATGGGCTCTGATTACATTTCCTCCCTCAGCCAGCACCTCTGTTAGCTGGCCAGTTACTTCCGTCCACTAACCACACTCTGGGAAGGCTCAGAGGCCCCCAAGTTGCTCTGCCCAAGGAGCCCTTTTCCCAGAAGCTCCCTCCCCCAACGGCCCCCACCAGATGGGATGGGGCTGGAGGCAGAACAGAACGTAGGGGAGAGGAGCAAAGTAAACCTGAGAGAAGAGAGGGGCTGCCCGTCTTTCTGCCACTCAATAGCTGGGGGTGGGAAGCCTTCCGCGTGGCAAGTCAACCGGATCTGCTGGCCTGGACTGGCATCCACCACCGCAGGCTGGTTCCTGTCCAGACGAAGCCTACAAAAACGAGCACTCACAGCCATGAGGGGGCCCTCCCCCACAGCCATGAGGGGACTTCCCCATGCCCAGCCAAGCCTGGTGACTGGACCTCTGCACAATGCTTATGGCACCCCCTCCCATCTCCAGCCAGATTCATCTCCCTAAAACCACCCCTGTGTTCTGGTTAAGATACCATCCATAGCCACGTGGGGTAAAATCTTAAAAGCCATCTCTACCCACCCCACCTGCTGGCTGGCTGGACAAACACAGCACCCAGCATCTCCACCCTGCCCTGCACATTGGCCTCTAGGCCCTTGATGGGCACCACTACAGCCCTCCGCAACCCCTCTGTAAACCAAACCATTCTTCAAGGCCAGCTCCAGCCCTTCTCCTCCCAGAAGCCATCTTGGACCTTCTGCCCCCCAGAGCACTTCCCTCAGTTCCTGGGTCCTGGGCCCACACCATTCCCACCCATCTGGTCACAGCACACTGGCCTGGTGACTGATTCACTTTCCCTTCCTCTTGCCCGCTGAGACCTCACCCACACACAGTTGTGGAGGCTGAGAGCAAGATGGCACTGCTGGGCTGTTACCTGGATGTGGGCCGTGGGTGAGAAGAAGAGATGGTCCCCAGGCTCCCAGCATCCTCCCTTAGGTGCTGGGCAGGGTCCTTGGGCTGAGGGAAGTGCCTCGGCTCAGCCTCAGACAGCACAGCCATGTCGTCCCCTGTTGTGAGGCAGGGAGAAGCATGGGGTGAGCTGTGAGGAGAAAAGGGTGTAGGGAAGGGTGGGCCATGAGGCCAGCAGAGGACATGAGGAAGAATGAGGGTCACAGGGACCAAGTATTCACCCCAGCCCTCCTGGAAGGTGTGTCACCTCTCACCAGGATGCCCAGGCCCAAGGAAGCACCCAGGTCTCTCCAGCACGGGGCAGCCTGGCCCTTCCACCCAGTCCCATGGGAACCCAGTGGGGTGGGGCAGACACCTGTGATGCGAAGCTGGATCTTATGAGAGTCACGGCCTGGCCTGGTGCTGCCACAGCTGTAGGTGCCAGCGTCCTCTGCCCACAGGGGGCTGATGACCAGGGAGCCGTCGGCCTGTGGCTTGTGCCTGAATGGGGGGTAGGGAGGAATGGCTGATCTCTGGGCTCTTGAGGGCAACAGTGGGCCCTGGTCCTCCCTCAGGCCTTGTGCTCCCAGCAGAGGTGACCATAGCCCCCCAGAGGCCCCTGGGCAGCTCCCCCTCCTACCCCAGGGGAGATCCGAGGGGGTGCTGCTGGGGAAGGACTGTCACACACACCTGTCAGAGGAGACGGGCCGGCCGTCCTTCTGCCACCCAGCATGGTGGTCCAGGGAGCTGTCATCTGGGCAGAAGAGCTGCACCAAGTGCCCCAGGGCAGCCTGCACCAGGGTTGGCTCAGAGCCGGCCAAGCTGATGCTGGAAAGGTGGGAGGTGAAAATCTACCATCCCAGCATGAGTGCCTGGGCCGGGATCAGCCCTGCAGCTGTGTGTCCACAACTGCTGGCTCTGTGCCCATCATGCCACAGGCACTTGTGGGGGTCAGAGAGCCCAGAATGCCATGGACTCAGGAGTCTGTCCCCCATCCTCCTGCCATCCCCCAGGCATTGCCACCTCAACCTAGCCTTTCAGCAACAGGGTGGGTGAGAAGCCCAGGGGTGAGAAGGGACTAGGGGGGAGGGCACATAACCAATTCATTGGGGAATTAAACTATACATCTGACCCCTTTAGAATTTAAAGTTTGAGTTTTTTTAATTTTGTTTTTCATCTCCCCAAATCATGTGACACAGTCCCAAGAGTAATAACCAATGGAACTCTCACCAAGCCTATGAGCTATGGAGGGTAGGAAACACTGTCCCACATTACAGTAAAGAAACCAAGGCTTGGAGAAGTTGGCTGGCTTGCCAAAGGCCAGGAAGCCCACAAGCTAGAAAGGTCCCAGGGAGAGCTGAGAAGACCTGGTGGAGAATCCAAGCACCACCATCTACTAGCTACCTGACCTGGGACAAGTCTCTCTGTCTCAGAAGCCACAGCAGGGCTGCTTGGAGGGTGGTTAGAGGTTAGGGAGGGATATGGAGAGATAGGGCCTGCTGCCCTCAGGGTTTTAGCTCATATAGGCTCAGCCCCCAGTCTGGGCACCCTGCCTCCTACCCAGGGAAGGTGGGCCTCACCTGTACGTAGAGCTGCGGGAGGGTGGTGCTGGCCGCCCAGCATCTCCACCCAGTCCAGGGGCACTGGGCCCACGTTCCTGGCCCCAGGGCCCTTCTCCAAAGGCCTGGGTATGGGGGGCCTCCCCCAGCCGGGGCTCTTGGTCTTGCCGCCAGAGGCTGCTGGAAGGCAAGGGCTTCCTCTGGACTGTGGCTCCCATCCCATGCCGGCTGGCCTCCTGCTGGCCTCCAGGACCTGCATCCCTGTGGGTGCTCTGGGCAGAGGCTCCAGGCTGGAGCCCCCGGCAGCTGCTCACACACTCCTCTTCTGAGGCGAAGTTATTGGCATTGCCGTGGCAGCCACCGTACCAGAAGCGGTTACACTGGCCCACGGAGGCAATGAAGTACCAGCGGGCAGCCCAGTCTGTGCAGGAGCCGTGAGCACTGGGCAGTAGGCACCGCACCGGGTAGGCTGAGGGTGGAAGGGACACACATCACCAGGGTGCCCAGTAATAAAGCTACAAACGCTGCCCAGCAGAGCCCTGCTGAGAAGCTCCCACCACTCCTCAGCCTCAGAGGCTTAGGGGGGAGGCTTTCTCAGTTTACAGAACTGGTTTATAGGACAGAACACAGGTTCACTGCTCAGTCCTGCCCTAGGCTGGGGCCACAGCAGACAGTAATCACACCCATCCACCTCCACCTGCAGAACGGGAGGCCTCCAGGTTGTCGGGGCCATGAGCCCCCTGGACCTGCCCCTCATGCCCTCCCATGGCCTGATGTGGAACCCCTGGGGTATACACGAGGAGCAAGCCTGGGCTTGACCTTAAAGCACTTACTTAGCCCAGGATAAGGACCCAGCCCGTGAGGACTGGGCCTGTAATATGCCCAGCAAGGGGCTGTCCCTGTTCCCAGGCCCCCTGCACCAGCCTCTGAACCCAGCCCAGCCTGGTCGTTCTAGCTGCCCTGCTCCCCAGCACTGCCTACACAATCTCTCCATGCCCAGATATTACCACGGCTGGTAAGGGCACCTGGCCTCCTGCAGAGCCCTGGCCACCACCCCCCGTCAACTTTCGACACCCCCACCGTGGTCTCTGGAGGCCCCAACCATGCACCCTGGCCTCTGGCCTGTGACTTCCCCCAGCCCCCACCTCCCTCCAGGATGCAGCCCCAACTGCCGCCCACGTCCCAGCAAGGTCAGGACACCCTCCCCATCCCAGCACTGACAACCCTGCGATGTATTTGTCACTGGAGGGGACTGAGTTCTCAGGTGCAGGATGGTCTGCCTTCCCCTTGTGACCCCACCTGCAAGCCTCCCGACGCTCACAAGTAGCCGGAAGGCCCCAAGGGTGTACTGTCAGATGGGGAATAATCATGCACTGTCTCTGGCCTGGCACCTTCTGTGTGTTTAGTATGTGTGGAAGTGAATGAATGAGCCAAGGAGGGTCTCTGGCTCTGCATGGGGGCTGGGGGCACAGTGGGCCCAGGGAGGATGAGTAGGGGCACCCACTCACCGTAGCTGGGCTGGCCCACACAGCCTTCCCCCAGAGGGCCAGCCGCAGAGGCCGTGTTGTCATAACAGCAGCCAAACTTGGAGCCCCGGCACTCGCTGGGCTGGTTCTGCTGGGCCTGGGGGGCCTGCGGCCGGTGGGCCTGGGGGGCCTGCGGCCGGTGGGCCTGGGAAAGAAGGTCAGGGTTGGGAAGAGGGCTGAGCTCTTAGTAGGGGCTCTGGGCTGGCTGGGGGAAGGCAGCAGGATGCGGGACAGAACTGTGAGCTGAGGGTACAAGCCCCCATCCCCGGGGAGATCAGAGGCCCCTACCCCAGGCAAGGCCAGGCCAGCCTCTGAAGTCCTGAGCCCTCAAAAGATGCCCCAAGCTGGCAGCCTTACAGGGACCCTCCCTTCTCCAAGGCCAAAAGCTGTGAAGACCCTAGGTCACAGTGGCATTGAGCAGGCTCAGGCTGGACTCTCGCCCTCCACCCCCCACCACACACAGGTGAACCAGACACTTACTGCGGAAGCCACTGCTCTGGACACCAGCCTATTCCCAGTGTTGGCACTGCCATACGACCTTGTGCAGCCGGCCTGATGGGGCCCCTCAGCCACTGACACCCCATCAGGGCAGCACCCGTACCTAGCAGACATCACACTGAGCCCTCCCTCACTGCCCATCCCTGAGGCCCAGCACCCTAGAACCCAGGCTCTGAGGCTCCCTGGGCTGGGGACTGAGCAGGTCAGGATCCCAGTGGGAGAGGGCAACAGTGGCACAATAAACAGCCTGCACCTCTGATAACCAACAGATCCTCAACTCACGTCCCACCACAAAACCAAGGAGGAATAACGCACTGAGCCTGTCCAAATATCCGTTCCCAGGAAGTTTTTACAAACTAGCAGTAGATAGGAAGTGGGGTAGAAAAGGGGGTTCAGAGAAACCCACCATTTATTTCACCTCCACCAACCAGGTATAGGGAAGGAGGTGAAAGAAAGAATACGCCCAAGTACATACTACGTGCCAGGTAGCATGTGATTTGTTTAATCCTCACAATGACCCCACGTGGAGGCTGTCACTGTTCCCAATTCACAGACGAGGAAGCCAAGATCAGAGGTCAAATAATATGCCTGAAATCACCCCACACAGCTGGTAAGTGGCTGAGCTGGAAATCAAATCACCCTCAGCTGTTGCCTCAAAGCCAGGGCCCTGAGTACCACAGCCCCTGGGGAGAGTCGGCACATGGTGGGCAGAACATTCGGGAAGGCAGGCATTTGGGGGCTCAGCCCCTCTTTGCTGGAGTGGGCAGGACTGAGGAACAGAGGAAAGTCAGGCTGGCCTTTGTCCAGCCTTTCTGCTCGGTTCCCTGATCCTGGTCTGGATTTGAGAGCTGGAATCATACCCCATGTATCTCCTCAAAACTGGCTCACACCGATACCTCCAGCTACATCACCACTGCGGACTTCCGCAGGGAAGGCAGGGATTTTTACCCCCACCGGGCACACTAGGTAACACAGAGGTTAACACTTGATTTCTAGCTGAAAGGTTGGCCATCAGACCCACCCAGAGGCACCTCTGAAGGCAGGCTTGGCAGTCTTCTTCCAAAAGGTCACAGCCTTGAAGACCCTATGGAGCCATTCTACGCTGTACACATGGGGCCACCATGAGGCAAAATGGACTCAGTGGTAACTAACAACAAGCACGTTAGGGAGTCCCTGAGTGGTGTGACCAGTTAACCCCTCGCTGCTAACCAAAAGGTTGGTGGTTCAACACCACCAAGAGGCACCTCAGAAGAAAGACCTGGTGATCTACTTCTGAAAAATCAGTCATTGAAAACCCTATGGAGCATAGTTTTACTCTGACACACGTGGGGTCACCATGAGTGAGAGTCAACAGCAACTGACCTGGCACATCAGGAAGCTGACAGAGAGGAAGCCGAGCGCCCAAGACTGTACAAGTAGGGCAACTCAGAGACAAAAAAAAAACCCAATATCCTGTTCCTGGACTCTGCAAGCCCCACCCGGCCCTCTCTGAGCAGAGACACTGACACTGCCGGCTCCGGCACAAGCCCATCCACCACCTTCCTGTGCTGACCAGATGAGGGAGAGGCTCTCCAGCACCTACCTGCTCTGCTGACATGAGACCCTGGGGCAGCCTTGCCACAGAGGCCCGAGAGACGCAGTGTGGCCATCGGGGCAGCACCCGTGGGGGCTGTGTCTGCAGTCCCAGGGCACTGAGCCTGACCGCAGGGATTGCTGATGTGGGGACTGCTGCAGAGATGGGGCTGGGCCTGGGGCCGACAAGTGGGGGCCCTGGTTTCCTCTGGGGTTACTCCAGGCTGAGGATCGCCCCTGGGGTGCCCACCACTGGCCTCTGGAGTCTGGAGAAGAGGACCCAGAAGATAGAAATATGTCCTCCTCCTTACCCCGCCATCTGTCTCCACACTGAGCCCCCTCTGTCCCCCAGACCACTCTCCCCTTGGTCATCATTGGGCCCCCACCCTTGACCTCCATATCTCTAGGCAGCCCCCACTGAGATGCACAGATAAGAGCGCTGGGGGGCGGGGCTGTGACCAAGCTTCTCACCTGAGGCAGGGGACTCCTGAGTACCCAAAGATGTCCTGGGGTCCCTGCGGCTGGTGCGTCCATCCGGCATGCTGGGGACTTCTGCAGGGAGCCGGGCAGTCAGGGTGGGGCACAGAGGGGGGAGGAGGAGAGTTGTGGGTCCCAGGGGTTACCAACCCTGGAAAGCATCTCCTCTCATCTCATTGCTCTGGCAGGGCTGGGGACCCAGGACAGCAGAAGTAAAAATGAACAGGATCTGTGATTCCATAAAACACCCTCCTCAAGTTTAAAAGCATCTTTGATAACAGAAAATGCTAATGTTATACATGTTCAGCATAAGGATGAGCCAGGTATAAGATCTGCGTTTATGGTGTGGCCCCAACTACGTAAAGCAATCAAACAAAAAAATGCTGCACGGGTTTTTTAAAATTGGGTTGATGGATGAAGGGACAGAGAATCAATACCAGTAAAGCAAATATAGAAAATGTTAATTGTAGAATTTAGACGTGGACACATGGCTGCTCACTATAGAATTCTTCCAGCTTTTCTGGATGTTTTGAAAATTTTCATTGTCTTGTTGCTCAACTTGTGAATTTGCTAAAAATTACAAATTGTACAACTAAAATGGGTGAATTTTATAGTATGCAAATGACACCTCTATAAAGTTAAAATATTTTTTCATCATAAAATGTTGGAGAAAATTATGACAACAGGAAAAAAATTTTTTAAATGATGCATAAAAGACAACTTGCAGGAAAGGTCCCAGAAATGCTCATGATGAGTCTCCAGTTCTTCATGCATGGTGATTTTTTCCCTTCCTCCCATGCGTCTGTGTTTTTCAAATTTCCCACAGTAAGCATATTGTTATATAATAAAGATATAAAGAATAAAATAAGTGAAAATTCTATTCCCATATGGCCCACATCTTGCTGTGGTCCTCAGGGAATATTCTAAATAATAATCTGGGGCTAGAAGACTACAGTAGATAGGGGTCAAGTCTTGGCTTTCATCTTATTTCTATCACACCCAGGCCAAAACCCAGGGTGCCTGACACCCTCCAGGATCCATCCCAACCATGAAGGCAACACCCCCTGGAAAGACCTCCTGTCGCCACCTCCACCCCCTGGGCCGAGGGCCAGCTCTGGGGGCCACTACTGGTCTCTAGAGCTACTGAGCAACTTGAAATGTAGCTAAAGCAACCTAGGAACTGAGTTTTAAATTCTACTTAATAATTAATTGAATTTTTACCTTAAAAGCAGATACCTGATACGTTTATTTGAAAATGTTTCATCATATTTGGAACAACTTGAGTATGAGAATCTACTTTTTTCAACTGCACATTTTATGAAATCTAAATATAGATCAAGTAATCCAATGAAAATATAGCATCCAAATTGAGATGTGTTGTATGTACAAACTATACATTGGATTTCACAGATTTAGTATGAAAAAATGAGTAAATGCTGTATTGATTACACATTGAAAATATTTTGGATGTATTAGGTTAAATAAAATACGTTATTAAATATAAATTCACTTGTTCCTTTTTTTATTTATTCTGTGACAACTAGGGAGCATTGGTGGCGCACTGGTCAAGCGCACAGCGGCTAACCAAAAGGTCAGCAGTTCAAACCCACCAGCTGCTCCATGGGAAAAAGATGCAGCAGGCTGCTTCCATAAAGATTACAGCCTTGGAAACCCTATGGGCAGTCCTACTCTGTCCTGCAGGGTCACAATGAGTCAGAACTGGGTTTAGTTTTTTGGTTTTTGTGGCCACTGGAAAACTCAAAATTATGGGTGTGTGTGTGTGTGGGGGTGGGTGTGTGTGTGGGTGGGTCTGTGTGGTGAGTCCTACACGAGAGCCTGGGAAGGAGAAGTAGAAGACTCACTAGGAGTTCGCTCAGCCACCCAGCCCTCAATAGGCCTCATCAGACCCCTGCTCCCCAAGATCACTCCACTCCCCTCCCCCCCAGCATTCACAAGTCTATACTACAACATAAGTTACAGTATAAAAAACCAGAAACCACCTAAACTCTCATACAAATAATGGCCCATCGTGGACTTGTGCAGTGCCTCGTGAAATCAAACAGGAAAATACACACAAAATGGCATTAAGGGAAAAAAGATGAAAATTACACACTACAAGGGAAATACACTAAAGGTTAATGATGGTCATGTCAGGGTGGGATTAAGGGCAATTTTAATTTTTCTCTATATACTTTCTTTAATTTCTAATTTCTCCTAATTTTCCACAATGATTATCTTTATAATCATAAAAACAACAATAAAGGTTCTTTAAAAATTCATCCTGGTGTGAAGCTCACTGTCTTCTCCCACCTTTCTACCTGTGTGAGTCCTACTTGTCCTTCAGGCAGGCTCAAGGGAGTTGTCCTCCAGGCCCCGGGGAGCTGAGAGCCTGGACTCCTGGGAGATTGAGGGTCTTCTTCCTGTGCATGAGCCCTAAGGGCCAGGCCCAGGCTGAGACACCCCTGCTGCCAGCAGCTGAGGGACCCTGAGGGGCCCTCCAAGTGGTCCCTGAAGCCCAAACCAAAAAAAGAAAAAAAAACCCATTGCCATTGAGTCGAGTCAATTCTGACTCATAGTGACCCTATAGAACAGAGTTGAACTGCCCCATAGGATTTCCAAGGAGCAGCTGGCAGATTTGAACTGCCAACTTTTTTGGTTAGCAGCTGAACTCTTAACCACTGCGCCACCAGGGCTCCCACTGAAGCCCAGCCTCCCCATATCTCCTCACTACCACTATTGTCCACCCCTTGTTTACCGTGCACTCTGTGGGCCTAGGAACTGTACCTTGTGACTCACAAGCCTGGGAAGTCACTCTTACTAACCCCATAGTATGTATGGAGAAACCAAGAAGCAGAGAGGAGAGGGGTGTGCCTAGGGCCACACGGCTGGTCAGTGATGGAGAAGAGACTTGAACCTAGGGCTACTGTTGACTCCAAGGTCACTCATTCTTAGTCACCCTGCAGGATGCCATTAGAACCTACCGATTCCCACCCCAAGGTCAATACAGCTCACACAGTGCCTATCACCAACCACATCAAGGCCACACACCTCTTTAATATGGAAAGCCACCCCTCATCACCCTTTCAAGTTCAGCTACAACCTATACTCTTCTTTAATGTCACATCCTCAAACCAAGCAAACGCTAGCTTTGTGCCCTTCCTGCTACAGATCCTCATGCCTAGGACACCACCTTCCCCAGTGGAATACAGATGAGGAGAAAGAGGGAAGACAGAGGCAGCAGCAGCTTGTGGGAACAATCTTTCCTGGACTACCACCCTCCCTCTGCACTCAGTCAGTCACTTGTCATTCAACAAACATTTGCAGAGTATCTACCACATACTAGGGAAGTTCTGCGGTGGGGGGAGGTGGGCATAAAGAGGAATAAGGAAGACGCAGACCCTGCCCTCAAGAAACTTATAGCTAGTAGACTGAACAAGCTCTATACAAACCACTGCAGTGCAAGAAAGACTGATGCAATACAGGTAGTCCCTGACTTGCGACATATTCCAGTTATGACAAACCACACTTACAACTGTTTTTTTTTTTTTTGTACATCTTATGTTAGTAATATGTACTACATAAAATGTTTTGGTGCATAATTTGCTGATGTCATCATATCTGTAAGTTTATATGTAATGTTTCCAACCCCCAAACAAAAATAAAGATCGAATTTATAAAGATACTAATAATAAAAGGCAGTAATAATGAAAACTAAAAAAAAAAAAAAATGAGGTATTCGACTTACATTAGAACCTACTTATGATAGAGCTGTAGGAACAGAACCCCAGGGTAAGCTGAGGACTGCCTGTAGTCATAACATGCTATGGGGGGATAGGGCCAAGGGGGAAGATGCTACCTGTGCACGGAGGGAAACAGGGCTGGCTCATGAGGTGGCATACATATTGGACTTTATGGATGGCAAAGGCTTCAGTAGATAGAGATGAGGGGAAACAGTGGCCCAGGTGGCTAACACAGCACAAGCAAAGGCCCCAAAGCAGGAAGTATCTAGCTAGGTTTGTAGTGGGGCAAGAGATCAGGTCAGGGCTCCTCCCTGCCCACGCCTCCTGTCCTCACCTTGAGGAAGATGGCAGGGCTGTGTGTTACAGGGCTCCACATCTGCCGGCTTCGACAGCTGCAGGCTCTCACAGTGGCTGGGTGGCCCAATGGCACAGACGACCTGCCGCTTCCGAGTACCCGAACTGCAGCTCTTGGAGCACTGGGGCCCATGGGGTAGGGAGGAGAACACACACACACACACAGAGGGAGACCCTGAGGCTGGGGTGGGAATACCCACAAGGAAGCCAAAAAGGGGGAGGTAACCCAGTCCCGCATGTCAGACCCATGGAGGCACATAGGCAGCCCCCTGTCAGAGACCTAAGGAACCAAGTAGGACACCAGGTATGTGAGGTGGCAGGGGGAGCCCCAAGTACTCACCAGACCCCAGGTGCCAACGTGCCAGGCCTGGTCATAGAGGAGGGAACAGGTGTCACGCACACAGGGCTCAGTGAGAGGCGGTTGGTCCTCTGAGGAGCACACCGTGGCATGGAGCACAGACCCCTCATCACCCCGGCAAGTGACAGTCCGCCTCCGGACCCCTGAGCCACAGCTGACCGAACACTACAAGGACCCAGCTGTCAGCAGGAGCTCACCACCACCAACCCAGGGGAGCCATGCCAGGCTGGACAGCTGGAGGCCAGGCACAAAGGGTGTACAGCACCCTACAGCCCATGTCCAGTCCCCAGGCCCAGAGAGGCTGAGTGAGTCCTCTGAGGTCACACAGTCTGAGTCATGACTGCTGACAGCAGCATGGGTGCCTTTTCACATCCCCTCATTTGCACCTTGAACATATGTGGGTGCTGGAAGCAGTGACCAGTGACCCTGGACACTGCCAAGTCCCTCACCCTGACACCCCAAGCAATGCCCTCAGCTTCTCCTCTATACCAAGGCAGTCTTTCTCATCCTGCTCTGGGGTCCTAGAGAAGGAGGAGAAGCACTGGACCAGGAGTCCAGGTACCTCCTTCTAGTCCCAGTCTTGCCCCAGTTTCTATGAAAGCCTGCTAAGTCACTTTACCACCCAGAATCTCAGTTTCCACATCAGAGGACAAGCCTCCCAGCCCAGCCGCTGCCCAGGCCTAAAACCCAGTTCTTGATTTCTGCCCAACCCCCACCCTAGCCTGGTTGCAACCCGGGGCCTCACCTCTCCCCAGGGCTCTGAACTCCAGGCTGCGCAGCGCTGGAGGTTGCAAGCCTGTGTGGTGGGGGGCTTCCAGGGCAGGCCTGTACACTCGGCCTCATTGGCAGCCTCCTGGATGCCAGCCCCATTCGCTGAGACGCAGTAGACAGAGCGGGACTGGGAGCCACCTCCACAGGAGGCTGAGCAGGGCGCCCACGGCCCTGTCTTCCAGCTGTCGGGGTGTGGGAATCCAGTGAGGCTGGCCCAGGAGCAGGGGCCGGAACTCAGCCCAAGGGGGTACCAGCTCTCACACACAGGAGTAGACGGAGCCCCCAACCCAGCCCATTCTCTAGACATCCAGGTCTCTGCAGGTGGGTGGCAAAGAGCTCTGGACAATGAGGCCAAGCCCCAGGCCCTCCTCTGCACCATGGTGCGCTGCCGCTCAGAGCCCTCCTGTGCCTATCCTCATCCCACACCCCCTCCTCCCTCTCACCAGGTCCCCTGCTCTCCCAGCCAGACTCTATTCCCTCTGGGTGTCACATTTGATGGGGGGCATCCCCCAAGGGGCCATACTCCCCATGTGGGGAGTAGCCTAGCCTGGAGCTGGGGTCCAAGGACAGGAGGAAAGGGCGGCCCCGCTGCACCACGCAAAGCCAAATCCGCCACCATTCCATGAGGCCAGCCACCACCAAGGCATGCGAGTGGAACTGTCCCGGGCCTGTGGGGCCTGTGGCCAGCAGATTACCTGTTCCCGCACACACGCTGGGCCCCAGGGAGGTGCCACACTCGGGGCTGGCGCAGGTAAGAGGTCCTTTGTATGCAGAGGCATTGCCTATGCCAACGGGCCCTTTGGCCAGATGCCTGGCCCACATCTTGGCCTCTGCCGAGCCAACTCGCTGCCAGCTCAGACAGACCGGGGCCTCCACCACCTTCCCCAACCCTCCTGCCACCAGCCTGGGCATTCTGAGCACCGTGTGGGTACACATACCCCTCCAGGAAAGAAAAGCCCTGGGCTTCAGGCTCAGGCCCCCTGCACTTCCCTCCCCCTGTGACAGTGCCTCCTCCTACCCCGGCCACAGCGGTGGGGAGCCCTGAGCCACCCAACCTCTTGGCTCTATATCTAAAGCAGCTTAGGGACCCCAACCCCTCCCCTCCCAAGTCCTTGGGCCCCACCATGGGAGGACGGGGCTGGCAAGGGCCTCACCGCTTGGTCTGTGGGCATGGGTGAGTGTTGCAGGGGTGGCGGTCAGCCGGCCGAGGCTGGCGCTGGCACAGGTGGTTGGGGTAAACCTCGTTGTCAATGGTGCAGAACACCAGGCGGGTCTGGTGACCTGTGCGGGGGCCCGGTGCAATAGGCAGCCAGTCAGTCAACAAACGTTCACAGACACATTCTGTGCCAGGCACCATGCTGGACACACCCCATGTACAATCCTGACTAAGCCTCCAAAGACCCCTGGGGTAGGAGCCATTACCATCCCCAATCTACAGATGAGGAAATGAGACTCGGAAAATCTTCGCTGTGAGTGACGGAGCCCCACTCTGACACCGGGCATCATCTGCAGGCCTGGCCTCCTCTCCCGTGAATTCTGTCTCCAGTGAGCTGGCACCCCTCTGGGGGCCCTCTCTGGGTCTTAGCTTAGGTCAGGGGCCCTTCCCCAGGTCCCCCCCAAGGTGACTCCATGGAGTGGAAATTCCTCGTTGACTTCTCCATCTGCCTCCCCTAGGACTGTGACTTGCCCTCTGTCCGCAGTGCCTCGCATACAGTGGGCGCTCAGTAAGGTCGGGCAAGAGCCTCCCCACAGCTGTCCAAGGTACCCTCACCTCCTCCACACTCAGCACTGCAGTCACTCCAGGAACTGTGGCTCCAGCGGAAGCCAGAGTCAGGGGCTCTCAGGGGCAGGTAGTACTCATATCGCACGCCAGAGTTGGGTTCCTGGCTGATGAGCTGTGCAGAGGATCCTTGTTGAGGTCTGCAGCCAACCAGGCGCCCCCCACCCCTCCTCATCCCACAGCCTCCTCCGCCAGCCTCAGGCCCAGAGGAACCCCAAACCCCCTGTGACTGGGGCTTGATGGCCTCCTAGGGGTCATGTGCTCCCATCCCCACAGTCCGGCTTACCTCAATGACCAGGGGCTCTGAGGTGGGGCCTCGGGCGTGGAGCCGCTCGGGGGCAAGGTCCCCCTCGGTGCCACGCTCATACTGCAGGACAGTGCTGGCCACAGGCAGGGCCCCGGCTGCCTCGATGGTCCAGTGCCCGTTGAGGTAGTATTCACCGCGAACACTCTTCACCGCTGTGCAGGGGGTGAAACAGGCCCTCATGAGCAGGGGAAAGCTGGATGTACCACCCACTGCCACAGCCCCAGACTGTGATGCTCACCTAGGAAATTCCTGCTGGCAGCAGCCTCCTCGATATGAATGCTGGTGGCCCCCGTGGGAATGATAAGGATCTGATTGTAGCCTGAGGGAAGCAGAGGTGGGGGGTTTGCGGAGTGCTCCTTCCCATTCAGACCACCCAAGTCAGTTGCCCCAAGTGTTCTAAGAGTCATGGCGGCACAGACTGGGGTCGGGGCAAGAACACGTAGAAGACAGGAGGGGCTGGGCTGACTGGCAGGCTCAGGGGCCCAGAACTAACTGGGGAGCAGAGAGGACAGGATTGGGACAATGGGAGAGGGGATGAAGAGGGACATCCAGGTGGTGATGAGAGAGATTAGACTGAATAAGTGAGCAGGAGTTCCCAGGAAGAGTCTGGCCTCCACCCTGAGACCACAGGGAGGCTCAAAGGCATGACCTGGGCACCAGCATCAAACTCTCTGGGTGCCGTGGAGGGCGCTCGGTCTCCAGTCCCAGCCAGGGGGCGAAGAGAGGGCAACAGACCCTTGTCTGAATTGTCAGAGGACCCCTGGAGGACTGCAGCTGCTTCCCCCCGTGACCCACCTCTGCTGAGATCATTGGCATCAAAGATGCCTGTGACAGGGTAGCAGGTCGTGCCGTCACCCCCACACTGCAGACACTTGTCCTCCTTCTTTGACGAATCTAGCTTGTGGTCACAGCCAACAACCTGCCAGGCAAAGACAAGGGCCAATAACATGCCAGGATTCAAGCACTGGCCAGCCTGGCCTAGACCGGCATCTGCACAATCCTGGCAGGTAAGGGTGGTAACCATTCCTTAGTAAGCCAGGGATGGCTGCATAAACCATGGATCTGGCCTGTGCTCAGCATGCACCTTACCTTCTCTGGTTACCAGTTGCAGTTGAGTTGATTTCGATTTATGGTGACCCCATGAGCATCAGATAGAGCTGTGCTCCATGGGATTTTCAAATGGCTGGTTTTTCAGAAGATCACCAGGCCTTTCTTCCAATGTGCTTCTGGGTGGACTTGAACCTCCAACCTTTTTGGTTAGCGTTCGTGGCGTTAACCATTTGCACCACCTGGGGACATCCCCCTCTCTGGTAACACCTTATTTTCCTCTGGGGGCAATCTTGATCCCACATAGTTTAGATGGAACTCCCCAAGCAGTGGGTCTGGGCAAATCAGTGGGTTATGCCCCTTGCACAAAGAGACTGGTTCAGAGGCGAGCCCCAAGTCAAATGAGAGGCAACCCAGGTGGCTGCCAGGCGGGGATAGAAGAAGCCTGGAGCTATTAGTGGCCATCTTCAGCTCACAGAAGAACGGCCCTGAGAACACACTGACCCAAGGAGAGCAAAGCCAGCAGGCAAGGAGACAAGAGATATCCGCAACATCGTTCAAGTGCCTGGAGTCAGCCAGATCATCCCTAGACTTCTTTTGCTTAAGTCGATTTTAGGTGTGTTTCTGTAACATGCTACCCAAGGGGTTTCTCTTATTATGGGGCTAGACTCCTCAAAGAGCAAAGGTAAGAGAGTCACAGGACATCTGTGATACAATGCACCCTAGGAGTTAGGCTCAACGTCCAGGTAGCTTGAGAAGACATCAAGCTAATGACAGCCATATGGCCCTGCCGGTATCAGGCCAGGGAGATACCCTACAGGGAGTCACAAAGCCAGATCGGAGGTAGGTGTGGTGTAAGGTCTAAAATGAAGGTCCAACGTTATGTGCTGCTTTGACATCTGGGAGAAAACGAGAGGACTTCAAATACACTAAAGCCAAGTTCTCCTGACTCTGCTCCCAGGAATACTTCTACTCCATAGCCAAACAACCCTCTTTATCAAACAGATCAGGTGCCGTTCTGCTTATCCCTGAGTAGTGGGTTTCAGTTGCAAAGGATTACTCAAACAAGCAAATCACTTCCTCTCAGGGGACTCAAGGGGCACCCCACCCTCTTAATACTACAAAGCCTGCCTCCCACAGTCCCTGGTTGTTCACTCTGCTCCCTAGTGCAAGCTGTATGTGGCCCTGGGTGGCCTGCTGTATCCTCCTCTCCAGGGCTCTGCGTGTAAGTGACTAATAAACTGCTGTCAATCTCATCTGTCCAGTGTTGGGTGTCTGTGTCCCCCAGGGTGGAATCCCTCCCTCACAAACAGGGTAAAGAGGAGGTAATTGAAACAGCCGGGGAGGAGTAAGGGATACTACTCACCCGGCAGCTGCCATCCACACAGACGTCCCGTTTGCCAGGCTCACAGGGGGTTCCGTCTACCACAGCTTCCTTATGCTTGTAATAGAAGTTCTCCCCCTTGGGAATGCAGTTCAGTTCACACTTGTTTGGGGCTGGAGAGGGCAAGAGGGGGAAAGCTGAGATGCCAAGTTTCAAGGACAACCTTCCCCAGGGCCCAAGGCCTACCGTAGCAAAAGCTGAGCATGGCAAGGGCAGGAACATATAAGCCGCTGGGAGAGAAAGCCTTCACAGCAGCCCCCGAAGTACTCAGGCTCCCAGCCTCATCCCAGGGAGAAAGAACGTTCTCCATGAAACTGCTGCTTCCCTGGGAATTAAGTTGAAGAAAAACCCCCAAAGAAGGAAACAGCTATATACTTGAAGAGGTCTACCTCAGCATTATTTATGATAGCCCAAGTATTAATAGGCTACTCTTTAAGGAGGGATCTGTCCCTGGAGAAGGACGTCATTCTTGGTAAAGTAGAGGGTCAGGGAAAAAGAGGAAGACCCTCAACGAGATAGATTGACACGGTGGCTGCAACAACGGGCTCAAGCATAACAAAGATTGTGAGGATGGCACAGGACCGGGCAGTGTTTTGTTCTGTTGTATATAGGATCACTATGAGTCAGAACCAACCTGAAGCCTCCTAACGCTCTTTAAGTAAATTATTATCTATCAGTGGAATAATATGCATGTTGATGATGCAGTTAAAATGATGATTATAAAGACTGGGCAGTTATGTGGGAAAATGTTTATAACACACAACTCAAAATGGTACTATGTAGTAATTTTAAATATGTAAACGTATAGACAGACAATAACGAGAAAGGGCTAGACCAAAATGCTAACAATGGCCCTATGAAAGAGATGGGATTAGGCTAATTTTTTTTCTTGTTTTAATTTATGTATTTATCTAAACTTTGCATACATATAGTTTAAACAGTCCAAAAGTGCTAATAGCATTATAATCCCCTCAGCAACAAAAGCCGCACCCCTCTACTAGTCTTTTTAGCCTTTCCTCTGCATTCTATATCTTCTATAGCGTGGATACATTTAAATTATTTTCAACATATGCCCCTCTCAGGATCTGGGGAGCGCAATGAATGCCAAAGGACCCCACTGGGGCCACTTCCACTAGCCAAGCCCCCACCAGGAACACAGTTGGAGTTCACTGATCTGGAATCCAGAGCGCCAAGTCCCCAGAGGTCATTTGCAGTGAGCAGTGAAAACTGATATTCAGTAGGATTATCCTAAGATACCTTCAGACTCTTACACGTGTATTAGTACTTTTTTCCCTTGAACTGTACTTCTCTAAAAACTAATGACCTACAACACATCGCCCTCAAAGTTAACTTCAAGGTGCATCTAATCTGGCCCCAGTGATCCAGAGTAAACACGATCTTGCTATACCAAGCCCCTTCTCGCCCCATCTTGCTGCTTGCTCAAACTCGGTTGCAACATGAGAAGTGCCTCAGATAATAGGCTCAACATGGTGCATCGAATGGCATAGCTTTGTTGGAAATATAGACATACGGGAAAAGGATGGAAAGACCTCAAAATGACCATCATTGCTGTGTTGCCATGGGTATTAATGGGGGTACTGGTAATTTCTCAAAAATTCCTTTGACAAAGCTTCTGTAATTTATACGGTAACAGAAATTTTGAAGTTAAAGAAAACATATAAACGAGATCCCCAAAAGATGGGGACCGAGGTAGCAGAAGGTGGAGTAAGTGCAGCCAGGAGATGGGGTGCCCCGCCTGCTCACCCCCGTAGTAAGGCAGCCACTTGTAGCGCCGTCCCTGGAACTCTGTGCCATCCAACTCCGCGCACTGCAGGGCCCGGAAGTCCCGGGCACCCTCGGGACAGCTCTGAGGGGGCGAACGGGGGAAGGAGCAGTGAAATGGGATTCCCCTCTTCCCCGGGAGGCCTGCCCCAAGGCCCCTGAGCGCCCCTTCCAGATGCTTTGGGTTGCTCAAGGGGAGGCGGTGCGAGGGCAAGGCCTGTCACTGGCGGTGCGGGTGAGGAAGGAGCTCCCCGCGCGGCCCGGCGGTGGACGGAGGGTTGCTTGGGGGGCCTGGGACCAGGGGACGGCTCCCCCGCCGGGGCAGCAGCTAGAGTGGAGACTGGGGGACTGGGCAGCCCGTGTCACCTCGGTGCGGCAGGAGCGGTGGCTCCGGGCGGGGCCCACGCAGCTGAAGACTCCATCTCTCCTGCGGGATGAGAGGCACAAAGACAGTCCCTCCACCACACGAAGAATCGCCCTCCCTGCCTCCCTCCCCCAGCTCATCTCTGAGGCTCCCTGTGCACAATGCTGAGGGGGACAGGGTGGGGCGCTAGCGCTCACACACAAATCCCCTTTGTTTTTAGGAGCCGTCCAGTGGATTCCGACTCAACGGGGCTCTATTATAGGACAGAGTAGAACTGCCCCATAGGGTTTCCTAAGCTGTAATCTTTACTGGAAGGAGACTTGGGAAAAAACCCTGGTGGTGCAATCGTTAAGTGCTGGGCTGCTAACCAAAGAAAGGTCGCTGGTTGGAACCCACCCAGCAGCTCCTTGGGAGAAAGACCTGATGATCTGCTCCCAGAAAGATTACAGCCTAGGAGCCCCTATGGGGCAATTCTACTCCATCACATGCGGTTGCTATGAGTCAGAATCCACTGGACAGCACCCAACAACAAGTCTTTGGGCAAGGGGCACTAGGTGGGTTCCAACAGTGGACCTTGGACCCTCCAGTTAGCAGCCCAGAACTTAACCATTGTGACACCAGGGCTCCTTTAAATCCCCTTAAAAATCCACTAAAAATCCACTGCCTCGAGTCGATTCCGACTCATAGTGACCCTATAGACAGAGCAGAACTGCCCCCATAGGGTTTCCAAGGCTGTAAATCTTTACGGAAGCAGACTGCTGTGTGCTGGTAGCCTAGCACTTAACCACTGCGCCACCGGGGCTCCTTTAAATCCCCTTCAAAAAAAAAAAAAAAAAAAAACCCGTTGCTGTGGTGTCAATTCCAACTCATAGCGACCCTATAGGGCAGAGTAGAACTGCCCCATAGAGTTTCCAAGGAGCGCCTGGTAGATTCTAACTGCTGACCTTTTAGTTAGCAACCGTAGCACTTAACCACTATGCCACCAGGGTTTCCTAAATCCCCTTAGGTAGGTGTAATTCACCCCATGTTTATACTTGGGAGGAATGGGACTCAGAAGCTTAACTATTCTGTAGGTGCCTAACTCTGAGCCACGCTGTGTCTTAAAGCAATTTCCAGAGAAGACCCAAAGGCTGCCTGTCCTTAGAGATAAAATAAGATGTTATATACACCCACCTAAGACTATTCTGCAATTGAACAAATAAGTATAATATCTGTGTCTCTCTTTCTCCTCACACAAGGTCTCCTGAGTAATGCATTAACAAGCCCACCACCAACTGGGAAACTTTATCACACTTTCTGTACCCCACCCCCTCCATAGCACCGGGCAGAGTGCCCGCACGCACTAAGTGGTTAATGAGGCAGAGTCAAAATGAGGAACCTCGAACACCTGACAAAGAGGCTGCGAGCAAAGAAACCACAGGCGTTACAAGTGTTGGCTGAAGACTGCCACTCATCTGGCAAGAATTCACTGCACCTGCCATGTTCCAGGCACTGCATTAGGCACGATGGATGGGGGACACGTGAGACAGACCTGCTCTAGCTCTTCCAGAATAAGGTGAATAGTTGAAATCAGAATGTAACTACATGGGAAATTATTTGATTTCAAATACTCCATGGATACTGCTTCCAGAACAAATCAGTTGCCTTGGTGGGTTCTGCCCACATGGCCCTATGCCTGCCCGTGACGCCTTGTCCAGCCCAGAAGTCAGCCTGTTCTGGCGCCTGCCCCCTTTTAACAAGCTGGCCCATTTTAACCTCCCCTACCTCTGGGAGTGGCAGGGGCGCTCCCGGAAGCTGATGCCCCCTCCGCAGGTCCGGCTGCAGGGGCTCCACTCACCCCAGTGGCCCCAGATGTCAGTCTGCCGCCTCACCTTCGGGGCCTGGAGGAGAAGACACACTCAGGAGCATGAGTCAGCATCACAGCTTCCACCGAAGCCTGGCCGGGCTGGGGAGCCATCACCCGCTTGGTGCTTGAGCCTGAAGCCTCCACAAGGGTACTCAGAGGTTCACTGGAGGGCCCCCCTGTCTGAAAACACTCCCTTGCCCTTCAAGGAGCCTGGGATTCTCCCTTCCAGAGCCAGCCCTTCAGGACTCAGCAATATCGGCTGGTACTCCAAAACATGCTCATTTCCAAAACTGGCTAGCTGTTCACCACAAGGAGGTGAGAGCCAGGTGTATTCTGAAAGAGGTGAGGCACCTGGGGAAGTCTGAAGTTCCAGGGGCCACGTGGGGGAGGGAACCCTGCAGTGAGGGGCAGTATGAGGGCCCAGGCATTTGGAGTTCAACACTGATGTTAGGGAAGGGAGATCCTAAAAGAAAAGAAGGAAGGGAAGTAACATGGGCAGGGCCACCGGCACCGCAGATGATGAGGGAGGCCCAGAGGATAGGTCTGTGCTGTCAGTTTACCAGCTGCCTGAGCAAATCACCTAACCTTCCTCAGCTGTGGTTTCCTTAGCCCTCAAAGTAGCCACCATCGGAACTAGCCCCTGCTTTCCTGCTATTCTGCTATTTACCAGGCACAGTCGAGAAACAGCTAAGCTGGGGGCAGAGAATTTCTTTTCTGTAGATGAAGTATCCTGGCTGGTGCGGAGTCTGGTTTGAGAACTAAGATGCTGCAAATATTCCCTTGAATGAGAGCCCATGAATGGTGAGAGGGAACCCATCCAAGATGGAGACGTGGAAGGACAGGCATGTTCTTGTGTAGGTAGGGCTCCCCATCTGTGCGGGGGATGTTGCCCATGGGCAGCGCCATGCTTCACCAGGGTCTAGTGTGAAAGAGCCACACCAAGTGTTGCTGCACTTGCATCTGCCGTGTGTGGTGACCTCATTTCCAGAAATTTCTGTAGCTCTGGCCTGTTAAACTAGGAACTTAATCTAATCATCTATGTGTGCAGGGCGGTTGTGGTCTCTTCCTGCCAATCTGTGGCAGATACTTCAGGAGTTCCCAATATCCATCTTCCTCTTCTCCTGTTGAGAGAACCCTTGACTCTTAGCTGGGCACCTGGCTATGCAAAATACAAAATATTATTTCCCAACCTCCCTGCAGCTAAGTGTGGCCACATCGCTAAGTTCAGGTCAATGCAATGTAAATAAGTGTTAGGCAGCAACCTCTAGTAATCTTCCTTACATATACTCTTTGCCCCTTCTTCTTTCTCCTGTACTACTTCCTGCTGGCTAGAAAGGAGACGTGATGGCTGGAGTTGGAGCAGCCTTCCTAGACCATGAGGTAACTTTGGAAATGCTTCAGTGAAGCAAAGACAGAAGGATCCTAGAACCTGGAAGACTTTGTGAAACAGAACATCCTTGGACTTTCTACTCCAGTGTGTTATGCAAGGGAGGAATCAAGTCTCTCTTGCTGACACATTGTTATTTGGGGCTCCATAACAGGATTACAGTCCTAACTGAATCCTGTCAGTTTCCCACCAGGAAGATCTGACACCTTGCCACTGGTATCAGAAGTCCACGTGCTACGGCACGTTCTCTCATTTAATCCTCAGAACAATCTGATGAATCCCATTGTGTGGATAAGCAGACTGAGGCACCAAGAGACGAAGCCACACAGGAACAAATGGCAGGTCAGCTTCACTGCAGGCCTCTGCTCTTACACTGGTGTTTGTTCCCACCTAACTCATTGATGGGGAGGCAAGAATCAAATGAAACACCAGAGGAGTTCTAAGGAGCTGGACAGGTGTTAGAATTGACTTCAGGATTTTGCCAGGAGGCAGAAGGTGTATTGGAAACAGGTCACCAACAATCTCTAGGAAAAATCACCCCCACTTTCCAGAGAAAGAACGCAAGTCCTAAAATGGAAAAGCCAGCCCTTTCTCCCGCTGTCTGCCACGAGGAACCTCACAAGATGCAGGTGAGTAACGAGGCTTACCCTCAGGTTACTCAGTGCTCATTCCTAACACCCCTGATGCCAAACACCTTGTTATTCTTGTTTTATAAGAGAACCCAGAACCCTAGATCAGAACAAACCGCACTAAACTTGTTGAACCACACACAAAACCCAGGAGGAAGGGCCGGCCAGACCAAAGGTCTTAGCTTTCACTTTTGAAAATCATCTATTCCTTCAGTTTAAACTGGGACAAAATCTCCAAGTTTTTGAAAACCAGTGAACCAGAATATCAAAATGTTCTCTCAACAAAATTTAAACTGATATTTGGATCAATTTTCTACTTTAAAAGGGAAGAAATTGTGTGTGTGTATATGTGTGGGGGTGGCTTTTCCAAAGACAACCAGCAGCCCAGGCTTGGATTCCGGCACCGCCTACCCCCAAACGCTCATCATCACACTGTTTAAGTATTCAGGAGGCAGCCCTCAAGGGACCTGGCCTGGTTACTAATTAGCCTCTGACCAAGGTCTGCTTGGATGTCAGTCTCAGTGCTTTGACACAGCCCCCTGCGCCTCCCTGAACCCACCCTTCCTCAGGACTGCGCTGGGCTTACTGTTGTGGCCAAGGCAACAAGAGGCACCCCTGTCCCTGAGGCATCTCGTGGCCATCGGGGTGGGGTGGGGGCCATCCAAGCACAGGCCCCTGTGAGGCATCTTACAAACATCTTGTTTCATGTGCCCAGGAACTATGACCCAGGCATCGGCTTGCTGGGGCCACTCAGCGGGTGGGATTGACCTGCCTGATCCTAGACCTCTGTCCACTACACTGCACTGTCTCTCAGAGGAAAGAAAACATTCAGTCATGTTTCTCTATAATTACTAAAACCATGAACTGCACTATTGTATGAAGCCATAATGAGCTGCTCCATTCCAGCCTCAGCTGGGCGTGTCCTCACCTGCCTCGTGCTGCTCTCAGCTTTCTGACTGAGAAAAAGAAAATACCGCACCCCACCAATTCAATTCTCCAACACCCACCTGGAGCAACTCAGGAGCCCCCTTTCCTGCTTCAGCTGTTCCCAGGGGACTTATCCAGTGTGCCCGTGTGTGAGGGTGTGTGTATGTGATGGTGCGTGCAGGTGGACCCTCCCCCCCACACCCAGTCAATTGCCTCTGGAAGCATTGCCCTGACCAGCCTGGGGTGGGGAGCAGGGGCAGGCAGCCAGGGGGTATACCTTTGCTTTGTAGCTCTTTAATCATCTGTTCATTCTGTTCTGTCAGCACAAAAAGGGATCCCAAGAAGGTGCTCTGGGATCCAGCAGTGGCTCCTGCCCCCAAGGAGAACCAGTAACAGGAACCAAGAACCAGAAATGGAAATCGGGAGGCAGCTCACTGTGAGCCTGGGCCACACTCCCCCCCACCACACAGGTGGAAGGTGAGGGGAGAAGAGTTGACAGCGTAGGTCATGCCCAGCCCTGTGTGAGGCTCACCAATTGCAAGCAGAAGGCTCCTTAGGGTATTTCTAAGGAAGAAAGGATCTCACAGGACCCAGGGCACTTTGCAAACCTTGACTCATTTCAGCTGCACAGGCTGCACAAGCCTGTGGGGTGGGCTTCATTACCCCCAAATTAAAGGAATCTGAGGTTCAGTGATTTGCTAGAGTCACGCAGCTATTACGGAGTGGTTATAGGATTTCACCGTGGGGTCTCGACATGCACCTGGGCTGCAGTGTTCACGCTGCCGGGCACCAGGAGGAAGCATGCGTTGAAGGACCTCGGACGTGGGGCACTCAGGGAGCAAGGGCCCTGGGAAGGCAGAGGTGACCTGGGAAGCCGGCGGGTGGTGGAGGGTATGTGAGAAAGGTTGGTTGTACCCACCCACTGCTCTGATTGTGGCCCGTGCTGGATCTGCGGGGCTCGCCTACGCAGCCCTGGTCAGGGGAGCCCCTCTCATCCTCATCCTAGACTCACATTTCCAGAGGCGGCATTTCCACTGCCCTCCCCACAACAGCAAACAGTTTTGGTCCTTTCTCTGGGGTCCTTCTTCTCTCTCCTCCTGCCTGCCTCTCAGAAGGGTGGGCAGGGCTGTGGGTCTCCCCTGTGGAGAGCACTCCAGGAGCAGGCTGGTGGCCTCCGTTCTGCCAATGCCAGGAGCAGCACAGCAGGAAGTCTCCAGACACCAAGCCCAGCAGCACCCATTTCTGCAGACCTCACCTTGCTGAAGGTGGGTCCTGCAATCTAGAAGACTCTATGTCCTCAGGACCCAGTCATGTCCAGGGAGCCCTTACTTTGAGCCTCTGTTAAAAAACAGCTATTCTGCTCAACAGTTGGCTTCCTGTGTCCACTCTCTATATTTTCACTAATACAATAGCCACTGGCCACACATGGCTATTTAAATATAAATTAGTTAAAATCAAATAAAATAAAAAACGCAGCCCCTCAGTTGCACTAGCCACATCTCAAGTACTCAGTGGCCACAGGGACCTAGTGGCTATCTTACTGGGCAGCATATTTCCATTGTCTCAAAGTTCTATTGGATGGTCCTGCTCTAGATGCTAAAGCCAGTGAAAGCGGGAATCACTGGAACCTCAAAGCTCTTGGCCCAAGCACAGCACATTAAGGGGCAGCCATATTTGGTCCCATGCAGGTGTAGGGTGGGCCACCTAGCCTTGCACTTTAATTGGTCCCAGCACCCCCTCCACCCCACTTGGAAGACCACCTGGCGGAGGTGGTTCTTGAGCACAGCCCAGGCTCCAAAAAGTGCACCCACCTCCTGAAGAGGAAGGGAGGTGGGAAGTTTGCCATTCCTGCAAACTGTGCTGCCACAGCCCAGTTCAGGGCACCTTGGCCAGGAGCTTCAAGGTCTCCACCCCTTTCTAAATTAGCTCAGGGCCAAGGGCTCACTTCCTCCTACCCCATCTTCCCAGACATTGCCCTTCTCCTGGGAATGTTGCCGCCACCGGCTCCAGACTGCAGGGGGCAGCTTCTCCCCAGTCCTAAGCTGTGGGTGTCCTTCCTGGACTTGCCACCTGCCCCCAAGGCCCTCCTGCCCCTCCCCGCCTCCCCCAGCAGGCCCTCCAGGAGTCAGGCAGGGCTGCACTCACCAAGGACCCGGGCAACGGGGCCAGCAGCAGGGGCACGAGCAGGAGCAGCCGCATCTCCACCTGTGGGAGAGGCCGGGGTTAAAGCAGATGACCTAGGGGGTGCAAGGCCAGTGTGTGTGTGTCACCCCTTCCCAGTTGTCCAAGGTGATCAGGAGACCCACAGAAGGATGAGCGGGAACGCCATGGTGCATAGTGGAGAATATAACGTGTGTGCACCACACCAGCTGGACAACTCACACAGGTATGGAAAAAAGGCCCATCTACAACTGGCAGAAGTTTCAGAACAATTTGTTTCTGTGTTTCAAGGGAAAAAGGGGGTGATTACAAATACCTCTGTTGTTGAAAAACACAGTTCAGAATTAATCAGACTTTCTGTATTTTTAATTCAGGAAGAGATTCCTTTTAAAATAGTCATTCCATCAGTTTTTACACCCACACCAACATTTCTCTGCACCAGGGAAGTGCCACAAGCAGGCTCCATAATCAGTGTGTACACAGTGTGTCGTGTGCATGTACAGTGTGTGCAGTGCAGTGTGTGTGCAGTACGTGCATGTGAGTGCATGCAGTGTGTGTGTGCAGTATGTACGGTGTGTGCAGACTGGTGTGTGCATGTTCGCTGTGCATACATGCAGTGTGTGAGTGCAGTATCTGTGCATGTTACAGTTTGTGTGCTGTGTGGCGTATGCGAGTTCAGTATTGTGCAATGTATGTGTGTATGCAAGTGTGTGCATCTGCAGTATGCATCTGCGCAGTACATGTGTGATTTGTATGCGTGTTCAGTATATGTGCGTGTTACTGTGTGGGAGAATGACAATGTGCACTGCTCATAAAAAAAATTAGATAAGAACTAACTTGTATGTTGGAATTAAAAAATATGTAATTCTAATAGTATTCTTTGTTTTTAAATATTAAATGACTTCAGTTTACAAGGATAAAACTGAGCATACATAAGCTAAGTTCAGCAAAAATTTAACCTGACACATTTAACCACGCATATACTGGTTAAGTTGGCACCAAAAGTGACTCATTTAGTCATTTTCACATAGTCAAATCCAGAGATTCCTTCAGTTAGCAGGGGTGAGGGAGGCGGTGTGCTGCCTGCTCCCCCTGCTAGGCCCCTACTCTGTCCGCCACTCCTACAGCAGCATCTGCGAGGGACGGGAAGCAGGCATTAACGCAGGAGCCGCCGCATTCTAGGGATAAAGATCAACATAAGTGATGGCGACGCTTCGTCTGAGACACGCCTTTACGGTGGGGTGAGCATAGCTACGGAAGAGACTGAAGAAAGGAGAGGAAAGAAGAATTTTAGTGATAACGTAATTGCAATTACTACTACCACCACTGCTACGATTGTCGCTGGACCATGATCCCACATCTGCAATTCCAAAGTCCCAAAAGACTGAAAACTTAAGTGTTTTTCAACTCATCTGGTGGCCAAAAAACCCACAATAACAACCTGTCTGACTTCGGCGCCAGCTCTGGGTCTTGGCCATTGGGCTCTACTCTGGATCTGGGAGGCCTCGACCTCCCTGCTGCCTGCGGGCAGGGCCGGGTGCACACCGAGCATGCAGCGTGGGCTCTTGAAACTTCGCGTCCCGGAGACGCGTCTGTGCCCAGCTAGGTCCAAAGGCGGCGGGCAGAAACGCAGGAGGAGCGGGTCTGCTCCTGCCGCAAAGAGATTGCCCGGGACTCGCATCCAGGGGTTTCCGCGCGTTGGGCGCTGCAACCCCACAGTCCCCAGCGGACATCAGAGCCGCCGAAGCCGGAACGACGCCCTGCCCCGTGCACCCCCCGAAGGGCTCTTGCCCGACGCCCCGCCTGCGCCCAGAGAACGTGCCCACTAGCCCTCAGACGCAGAAGGGGCCGTTTCCCACGTGAGGCGCGGGGCGGCCCAGCAGGTGCTGCCGCGGTGGGGCGTCTGGGGCTCCGACGCCCCAGACCCACAGTCCCAGCAGCACTTCCGGGAGGGGACGCCCGGTCTCCTTGGCCCCTCGCCTCGGCTGCGCCCGAGAACGGCGTCCGGCGGAGGGCAGGGGAGGGGCCCGCCCAGCACCAGCTCCCACGGAGCCCTGCGCTTCCTAACCGCGGGCGGCCTCCTACCTCGGTCCGGGCGCGCAGCGCCCAGCCGTGCTCGGGTCCCGCGCCCCTCTTCCTCGACACTGCTCTCCCCGCAAGCCAGGCGGGACACATTCCAGCAGAAGCTCCAGGGTGCGCCGCCAGGCGCCCGCCAGTCTCCTGCCCCTCCGCCCTCCTACCTGTCTCCAGCAGCGCCGCTCCGTCGCTGCCCGCCCCAGCCCAAGCTGGGGAGGTCGGCCCGCAGCTCCGAACGCCCTCGGAGGTTGGACTTTCCCTCCCCGCCGCTGGCTGGTTTCCGCCCCGCCCCATCACCTCTCAGTCAGCCCTGCCGACAACCCTCCCCAATCCCAGTGACTGGACAGTGCCCTGCGGAGAGGCCCCCACAATGACCCCCCGGCGTGACCAGGGCCTCCACCTCCTTGAGTCCACGCCAAGCCTGGGCTTTCCCTCCACGCTGTAGGCATCCCTCTTGGGCCGGCACCAGTGCCCTCTCCAAGTCCACTTCCCCGGTGCCCAAGCCTTCCTGCTCTGGGACGCCCTCCCACACCTAACCCACACACAACACACCTCCAAGGCCAGCCGCTTCCTTCCCCACTCTTGAATTCTGTACTTCAGACAACTGAGTTCTCATCTTACCTGCCAGCTAGTTTTTCCACTGCCTAGAACGCAATCTCCCAATCCCCTCTGTCTAGCAAACTCCTCCTCATCCAGCAAGACCCTGGTCAAATGTCACCTCTTCTGTGAAACCTTCCCTGACACAGCCCAGGCAAAGTTGGAACTTCCTTGCCTTGTCCCCCAGTCCCAGTCCCTGCTGCTGTAGTTCTCTGATGCATCATACTGTGGGTGTCTGTGTCCCTGATTCAGCGATAACGTCCCAGAGGGTAAGGTCTGCATCTAACCTAAAAAATCCTGATCTGGCCACTAGTCCGGATCATGGTAGAGGGCTCGATAAGTGTGATAAATTTAATTTCCTTCCCTGACTGTCCTTTTTCTTAACTAATGAGCTCCAGGCCTGCCACCCCTTTTTTAGAACTGAAAATTCACCTACCCCTAGGAAAATGGCACCGGGCTGGCACACATGGTGGTGGGGAGGTCACAAAGGCTGGTCCCCTTCCCCGTCCTTGACCTGACCTGGCATGAGTCACTTCTCCCTGGCCTCTATTTGGTGAGAAACGTCAAGAGTGGGGAGTTCACCGCATCGCCACACCCCCAGCCCCTACAGCACATCTCCCAGGGGCCACCGCTGATGTCAGACAAAATGCTTACTGCAAACACAAACACTTTAAGCCAGGCCCATTTCTGACCATCAGTGAAGAGAGGAGGAGGAGCAGCTGTGTAGCGTCAGCCTTTGGGGAGTTGTGTGGATTCTTAGGCAAAGATAAAGCTTGGCAGTGGAATGACCCAGAGCCTCTCTAAAAACAGAAAATCAGAAAATCATTTCTTCTATTCAAAAAGCCTCGCTCCCTGCCCCCACAGCCCAGACTTTTCTGAGGTTGGTCAAAGGTTCCCTGTTCAGTGGGGGGAGGAGGCTTTCCAGTTGCAGGGTCGGGGGATGGGGCTGGGGGGTGAGGGTGAGGGATAGGGGAAGTGGGCGACAGAGGCCTAAGGAGTTTACCTTCCCATTCTGCTGTTTTTCCTCTACGACTCCTTCTCAAACACCCAGACCCACTTCTTTTTTTTTTAATTTTATTTTGTTGTTGTTGAGAATATACACAGCAAGACATATACCAGTTCAACAGTTTCTACATTTACAATTTAGTGACATTGATTTACATTCTTCGAGTTGTGCGACCATTCTCATCCTCCTTAGTTCTGAGTTGTTTCTCCCCCACTGACATAAATTTACTGCCCCCCAACTAATCTTTCAAGTTGCTGTTGTCACTTTGATCCCGTATGAATAGTTCTTAAAAAAGCATAATGCTCAAGGCAGACCGTTTTTACTAGTTAAGCTGAACAATAATTTGGTTTTAAGAAGACTTCAGGGGATATTTTTGGTTTAAGGTATAAAGATTATCTTAGTGCAATAGTTTCAGAGTTCATCTAACCTTCATAGCTCCAGAAGTCTAAAGTCCATGAAAATTCTAAATTTTGTTCTACATTTCCCCCCTTTTGATCAGGATTCATCTATGGAATCTTTGATCAAATGTTCAGTAACAGTAGCCAGGCACCATTCAGTTCTGGTCTCGTGGCAAAGGAGGCAGTTGTTCATGGAGGCAATTAGCCACACATTCCATATCCTCCTTCTATTCCTGACTCTCCTTCTTCCTCTGTTGCTCCAGGTGGATAGAGACCAATTGGTGTGCCTTGGATGGCCGTTTGCAAGCTTTTAAGACCCCAGGCACTATGCAACAAATAGGAGATAGAACAGAAGCACTAAAATGTTACCAGGCCAATTAACTGGGATCAGACCCATGATTTCTTAGCCCCCACCCCAGCTGCAAAGAAGGCCCTGAGGTTGGGGTGACGGAACCCCCCCACAGTGTTGAGTGGTGGGCCTTGCACCAGTCCAGGCTCTGCCAGTTACTGGCTTGGGCAAGTACTTCTCTCCAAGCCTCAGGTCCTCATCTGCTTGCCTCAGAGGGATGCCGTGAGCACAGTACCTAGCACTGTGGTTTAGAATGAAAATTCCAGGAAAAAGAGTAAGACTCTCACTCCTATTGTAAATGCCATTCACTAGCTGCACCAGAGACCTCCTTCCATGTGGGGTTGGGGGCAGCCCTTGGAGGCAGACAGACCTGACTGGAAGCCTGTTCTGCTGCTGTGTGTAAACTTGGGCAAGTCACGTCACCACCTCAAGCCTCAACTTGTCACTTGAGCTTCACGCAGAGGGTGATTGAGTAGGGAAGCAACTGGTTTCCATAAAGCTCCTCCTGTGGTGGCTCAATGGTAGAATTCTTCCCTTCCATGGGGAAGACAGGGACTCGATTCCTAGCCAATGTACCTCAAGCAAGCCACCACCATCTGTTACTGAAGGCTCGCATGTTGCTATGATGCTGAACAGGTTTCAGGAGAGCTTCCAGACTAAGATAGGCTAGGAAGAATGTCTTGCAGTCTACTTCTGAAAATCAACCAATGAAAACCCTATGGATCACAATGGTCCAGTCCACAACTGATGATGGTGATGGTACAGGACCTAGCCGCATTTCTTTCCACTGTGCAGAGAATGGGGTTGGGGTGGAGGGGAGGCAGCTAACAACAACAAGGTGCTGAATAATAGTTCTTCGTGCCCCATGCTCCCTCCACCTATATCTTGGATACTCTACATTTTGATAATCTGTGCAGATTCCAGGTCCAGGGACAAGGCCAGAATATAAGTGACCAGATCTTTTTGTGTGATTGGGCTGGGATGGAGGCTGGAGAGAAGGCAAAACCCCAAGAGCCTCTGAGCTTCCAGGATCCACCTCCTCCAGGAAGCCTTTTCTTACACACACCTCTGTGCTCCTGTGCCACCGGGGTTTACCCTAAGCACTTTCAAACTACGGCAGTGATGTATTTGTCTCTCTTTCTCCCTCTAAATTCTGAATGTTTCATCTTTGTACCCTGTACCAGAGGTATGTGGCAGCCTGTAGGGGAAGCCCACTTGATTGGCGGCCCTTAGCTGCCATACCTCAGGTCTACACCTTTCTGAGGGCTCTCCCTGCTCCGCTTCCTCCCCCTTTATCCTTCCAGGCATTTCCTCCAATGGTTTGCACACCTAATCCCATCTTGGTGTCTGCTTCTCAGAGGACCCAAACTGTCACACACAGGCTTCTTGGTTGCAAACCACAGAAAAGGACTTAGAAAAGTTACTTACAGGAAGAACATGGGGAGTTCTTGGAATTGACAGGAACGCTAGTGAATCAGCACAAAAATGGGCCAGAACCCCTGCCAAGGTCATCGATCATGGCCCAGAAATAGTTTTGATTAGGACTCATCCCACTGGACACTGGACTACTGTCACCACCACTTTTAGGCAACATGGACCCTTGCCACTCACAGAAAAACTCCTAAACTGTCCTTGCAGACTCAAACCCAGCAGGAACATGACTGCACCCTGAGTTCCAGGACCTGGGCAAACAGGAATTGGCAGGGTCCTCAGATGAGAAGGGGTTCAGATGCTGGGCCACCCCCAGAAAACCAATGTCCACTACCTCCCTGAAGCACCTGGCACATAGCGCTTACTGAACTCTTGTTGAACCGAACTTAGAGCAGACTGCCTTTCCTCTTCCTTCTTGTTTTTTGGTTGCTCATTCGTTTATTTATTCTTTGAATATTTGAGTGCCTACTCTGTGCCAGAAGCTGGGGACAGACCTGTCCAATGGTGGTAAATGCTTAACAACCATTCTCTGGGGGGAGAAAACACTGCTTCGTTGTGTCTACCAATGTCTGTGGTGTAAATACTCTCATATGGCATTGATGTCACTAAACATGGATACACAATCAACTCTCCCAAGTCACCTGCTCCAGCACACCAGATTGTCCCTGCCCTCGGGGAGTTCATGTTCTAGTAGGGAGTTACATTCTAGTGTTGTTTTAATTAAAATTGAACAAATCTTGCAAACCGAATATTCAAATATTTCCACTACAAAAGTCACAGAACCTATGCTCTAGCTCACTAGGAATTCAAAAGGGAAAAAAGACATAACAGTTCACATTTGAAGATTTCTACATTGATTTCTCTAACTTATCCTCATCCTCCAGCACATGCATCCATTTCCCTTAGTACAGTTCATTCAAAAGTTGAGGGAACGAGGGAAGGAGAGCATTAAAACACTTGGTGACAGTTTGCTCTCTTAACGTGATACTGAGTTTCTAGACCCTATCAATCTTCTGTCCTCCCTCATTGCCATATCCAAGTCAGCACTTTGAAACATCAAGCAAGACCACCAGAATGAGTTCAGTGCTCCGAATGTCTGACAAGTGGCTGTCATAAGCCTTTTGGCCTTTGGAGGGGAGTTTAATCATTAAAGCTGGGACAGAGATGTAGCTCCCTCCACCTTCTCCCAGGTATGAGGGCCATTCAGAAAGAAAGCACAAGAACTCCTGGGATGTCCCTCAGTGACATTGGTCTAATATGTATCCACCCCACCTGCCCCATCCTCAGTCCGAATTCTTGGAAAGAACACCAGGAGAAAGATAAGCCTGTGAGAAACTGGAATAGGGGCAGTGTAATGTCCTGGGGAACCAGATCTGAGCAAGGACAGCAGCAAGGAAGAGGGAAAGGGGCTTTCTAGATAACCTATCC